GGAAGACCAGGCCACCAAGGGAGGGCAGTTGGGGGAGACCCAGGCCTGCAGGGGAGAGCAGTTGTGGGCAATTAGGCAAGCAGGGAGGGCAGTTAGGGGTGACTAGGCCGACAGAGGAGGGCAGTTGGGGGAAACCAGGTCTGCAGGGGAAGGCAGTTGTGGGCAATCAGGCCAGCAGGGGCAGGAGGCAGTTGTGGGTGACGGGGCCAGCAGGGGAAGGCAGTGAGGGGTGACAAGGCTTGCAGGAGAAGGCAGTAATGGGTGACCAGGCCTGCAGGGGAGGGCATTTAGGGGTGACCAGGCCTACAGGGGAAGGCATCTGGGGGTGACCAGGCCTTCAGGGGAGGGCAGTTAGGGGTGACCAGGCCAGCAGGGGAGGGCAGTTAGGTGTCGATCAGGCTGGGAGGGGAGTGGTTAGGGGTGATCAGGCTGGCAAGCAGAAGAGGTTAGGGGCAATCAGACAGAGGCAGGGAAGTGGTTGGGAGCCAGCAGTCCTGGATTGTGAGAGGGATATCCAACTGCCCATTTAGGCCTGATCCCACCAGGTCCCAGATTGGAGAGGGTGCAGGCTGGGCTGAGGGATAACCCCCCCTCTATGCACGAATTTTGTGCACCGGGCCTCTAGTGGTGAGATAAGTTCCTTTTCATCCCACTTTGCTCTGAGTGTTTATCATAAATGGGTGCTGAATTTTATCAAATGCTTTTTCTGCACCTATTAATGTGACATTATGATTTTTATCCTTTATTTGTTTATGTGGTATATCACATTAATTGACTTGTGGATGCTGTACTCACCTTGCACCCCAGGAGTAAATCCCACTTGGTCATGGTGTATGAATTTCTCCATATATTACTCTATTCAGTTTGCTATTATTTTGTTCAGGGTTTTTGTGCCTATGTTTATCTGGGATATTGGCGTTTACTTTTCTTTCTTTGTAGTGTCATTATCTGGTTTGGGGATTAGGATAAAACCAGCATCCTAAAATAAGCTTTGGGGTCTTCCCTCTTTTTGAATTTTTGGGAAGATATCAATTCTTCTTTAAATGCTTGGTAAAATTCACCTGTGAAACCATCTAGGATTTTTGTTTGTTGGCAGTTTTTTTATTACTGTCCTGTGTACAGGAAGATGGTCTTCACTTTAAAATGACAAAACTCAGTCTCTCCCTATGTGTCTCTGGCACCTCCATGTTTCCCCAGAATTCCTGAGCATTTTTTTTTTTAAGAAACACTGATACATGGGCCATGTTCACCAGTGACATTGTGACATTGGTAGAGTGGGGTATCAGGAGTCATCATGATGGGGCTAATGTACCTCCCTTGCTATATAGGAGTACTCAGCCGAGAAAAGATAGTGTCCTGTGGCAGTTGAGGTGAGGCAATTAACACAGAGACATTTGCACTGTCTCTTCAGCCTTGCCCCCGAAGCCACAAAACTCAAGTCTCTCCCTGTATTATTCTGATAATCTCTGAGGTGCTGTCTCTTCCTTGGGAGCCGAGGGTGAGAGTTTGTGAGCAAAATTTTGTGTGCTGGCCCTTCCACAGCATGCCTGGGTTTCTATTAGCCTTCTGTCTTAGCCCAGTAGACCAAATCCCAGATGATTTTCATAGCCAGATGTTTCATGGGCTACTCTTCCCAGCAGTGGTGCTCTGAGTTGGATGCTCTCAGTGGCAGGCTAAGGTCCCCATGCCCCTAAGGGGGTCCTATGTAGCTGAAATATCACTCTGGATTCTCAAACCCTCCACATGGATCCAGGGGCGTTTCACATCTCTGTCCCTCCTATAGGTCTAGACGTGACTTCCGCTTTATATCCCCAGTTATAAAACTTCTGTTCAGCTATTCTTCAAATGGTTCTCCAGATAACTTAGTTGTAATTTTGATGTAGTCATGAAGGAGGTGAGGGCAACATTCACCCATTCTGCCATGTTTGATCCCTCTGAGGATTAATTTTTCTATATTCATTTCTAATTACTTTTAATTAATTTATATAAGGTTAGTACAACAGTTTACAAACTATAGGTACTAAGTATTTGTTGACAGAGAATCAAATATTAGCCTTGTAAAAATATCTCTGTCCTTACAGAAATTAGATTGATCTAGATTTCATACCCTGACATTACCTATCACCAAGAAACAGAAACCTGTTTCAAGAAAGAGTGGAATTCACTCTAAAAATAGTCTATCCAAATGCCATTATTTAAGACTTCTCCCTTTGACTAAATTAATTAGTCATGTTCTAGAAAACAGTCTTCCTTCAACTACATGTCAGCAAGGTACATTCAGCTAATGAAGGATTAAAGGCCAATTTGCTAATCTGCCTCAGTATAAGTTTTAGCCTTGAGTAATTTGTGCATAGGAGACAATTTAGCAACCAGAACTGTGCTAAAAATGAATATGAGTTTTTAAAATTACAACATTTGACTTATAATGGTATGCTCTCTCCTAAGCTTAAACAAATAGAATAAAATATGGATTCTTGGTCTGTTGCTCAGCATCTTGATTTAATTCCTCTCCTAAAGAAGGGTCTGATTCATTCGAGATGAGAAAGGAAGCTGACTAAAGTATTTTGGTTTTACTCTCACCGCTCCAATCACTCTTTCCAATGTTTCCACTACTATTTACTTTCCTTTCCTATAGGAACACATTTGTCACAGGGTCTGTCTCTAGTCGTCTTCTATTTCTGTTCTTTTCCTTGGTGAATTCATCAAATTGCATTGTTTCAACTATTATCTCCTAATCACTCTAACCCTGGGCTCCTTCCTCAGCTTGTCTTGTATTTTGTATTATCAACTAAAGATCTCTATCTCGATGTTCTGCTAGCACCTCAAACTTACCATGCCCAAAACCAAGATTCTCATCTTCACAAAGACCTCCCAACACACTTCTTTTAAAAAGGCATTATCATTCTCTAATTCTTGAATCCTATTCTTTTTTATGTTGCTGAGTCTTAATGATTCTACCTTCCTTACCTCAAAATATCTCTGGTATCTTTTCCCTCCATATTACCATTTATGCCACTATTCCAGTACAAACTATTACTTCTCATCTAGAATATTAATTTATTACCATAACTGGTCAATTCATGAATTCATGAATGAATGCATGAATTGAAAATGAATGGTATCTATACTTTAGTTCTCTCATTACTCTAATTCATCTTATACATCAGGAACAGATTAATTTCCTAAACTAAAGCTCTAACTTTACTACCTTACTACTCAAAATAGTTTACTACTTCCAACACAATTTAATAAATTTAATACTTTCCAACATAATTAAATAAATTTTCATTGTACAGTTAAGGGATTTCGCCTTAGGAGTTATATTTATATTTTCAAAATTACTTTGAATTCTTCGGAAACATTACCCTCTAACTGGAGCAAAGTTGTACTACTCACTTCTCTATACATTCTCTATCTTCCCTCTCATCTTCTTCTTGGTTATTCCTATACCTATAACAATCCTATTCATTAATTCAGGCCTGTCTCAGATATCACCTCCTCTATAAAACCTTTCCTGACTCCCATTATTGTGGTTCTTTCCTTTGAAACACCCTCCACACTTCTTTTAAATCATTTATGACCTACTTTGTATTATGGGAATAAAATAAGACATGTGTTATTCTGTATTATTTGAAAGAAGAAATGTGATTTATTTGTCATTGGAATACACTGCAGAACCAAAAACAGTACTTTGTATGACAAGTTCTCAATAAATATTTTTGGGGTAGGAAAAAAGAGTAAATAAATGGGAACACACATGATACAGAGAAGAAGTAAATTATAAGAACTGAGTTCTAAAACAAAATGTTAACACATATGTAAGACTGGTAACCAAATTATAGCAAACCTCATTTATACTTTTAAGCAGACTGTGGTTTTTTGGTTTTTGTTTTTGTTTTTTTTACCATATTTATGATGGAAATCTGAATTTATTTTGATTTTAGCATTACATTATGTTTCACTGTGTGCCAGGCACAATTATAAGCCTTTTGTATTTAAATTATTTATCCTTTATAACAATTTTATTTTGCTTTATTTTACAAATTAAATTAAGAAACTGGGGCACAGAGACTAAGCAACCTGAGGAACGTTACCCCAGGAAGTCTGACTCCACAGCCTATAAATGTATTATACCATTACTGTATACTGTACCTAAAGATATGTACAGCACTGACTTAAAATGTGAATAAATTGAAAATAAGGGATGTTTATTGAAAGCTCAGTCATTATTATAAGTTTGTCTTATTAACATGTATTATAGTACAGCAAGAAACTGAGGAGGCTGCTAATACATAGAGAGCCCCTATATTGAATGGTACAAAATGCCCAGCTTTTGCTGTTGTTTCTTTCCCTATTTTCCCTTAATATCACACTGTTGTTTACCACTTGGGACTATCAATGTGCCTAAAATGCCTTTATCCTTTACAATTTACCGGGAACTGAAAACAATGTATTAAATATCTACACTAATAAAAGAGAAAGCTGCAAATTGACCGTGCATTCATGACACCCACTAGCCAATCAGGAGTGAATATGCAACAAAGATGGAGGGTTAATTTGCATACACAGACACCCAGCAGCCAGGGGCAGTGCAGAATGCCTCTGGGCAAAGTGGGAAGGCAGAAAGGCAGCTCCAGGCCAGAGCGAAGGCGGTGCCCGCAGTTGGGGAAGAAGGCCCATTCTTGCACGAAACTTCGTGCATCAGGCCTCTAGTATATTAAATAAAAGCCAACAAGACACTGAGGAATTTCTTTTACAAAAGTTCCTTATATTTTGCTCCAATAAATGATCTTCCATTAAGTTGAGGCTGTTCTAAGTCTGATTCACAAATCAGGCATTACCATATAATTTCTGCTGATTGCATACAACAGTTACTATAGGGTTCTAAAAGTTAACAATGCTCCCCCAAAAGTGCCTTACATCAGCCCAAGTTACAATACTAGAAAATATCATAACATTTCTTATAACAATAAGCAACACATAATTTCTCTTAATCTTACCTTTGCGCAACCCAAAAATCCCAGGGAAATGGCAACTCTAGCTCGTAGATCTGGCCTGTCTTTGGGCCACACATAAGAAAGCATTGCTCTTATGATTTTCCGAGTATCAACATCTTTTAACTGTTGAGAGAAAACAAAGCAGTGAGTAACATGTTATTTCAAATATAACTATATTTCAATAATGTAGAATTATGTCCCTGAGAAAAATATAAAAAGATTACAAATATAAATTGTATACAGAATCTAAGATCAATATCTTTCAAATTCAAACTATTTTTGAGAAAAAGAAACTTTCAATTGCTTTGATAAAGCTACTCACTTCTCTTAATTTCCTACTTTCAGCTATAGTTATCCTTATAATGCCAAAAAGTTATTAAGTGGGGGTGAAGGGACATGCACTATACATTAATTTCTTACCAATTAAAATATTAAAACATTATATAAAATTTAAACATTTCTATCTTTGTGGTCAAAATCGTTATGTACTTTTGGGTTTTTATCAGTACATTTACTTAAAATGGTTTGAAGCCCTAAGTCCAAACTACTGACACAACAGAGTTACAATATAGTGTTTAGGAAGGTAGGTGTGTTGGCAGAGGATGGGTTATTACACTAATGCTTAATCTAACTTAAGTCTATCTTACATTTCTTTTGCACATTTACTGAGGCAACATTCCCATTAAACCCTTTGTTTTAGTTTTATCTTTTAAAGTACAATATTAAGAATCACACCAGGACCGGTTTGGCTCAATGGATAGAGCATCGGCCTGCAGACTGAAAGGTCCCGGGTTCGATTCTGGTCAACGGCATATACTTTGGTTGCGGGAACATCCCCAATGGGGGGTGTGCAAGAGGCAGCTGGTCGATGTTTCTCTCTCATCGACGTTTCTAACTCTCTGTCCCTCTCAATTCCTCTCTATAAAAATCAATAAAATATATATTTAAAGTACAATATTAAGAATCAAAACCACACTTCCTAAAGCAAAAATATACAGCAGTCATCAACAGGGAATAAGTTCCATGACCCCCAGTGGATGCCTGAAACCATGAATAGCAGCAAACCCTAAATATACTATGTGATTTCTATATACACATACCTATTATTAACATTTAATATATTAACATTTAATATATTAAATATATTTAATATATTTAATATATTTTCAATAAATATATTATTGAAAAATAATAAAATATAACAATTATAATAATATACTGTAATAAAAGTTATGTGAATGGCTTTGAGGCCATTATTAAGTTAAATAAGTGTTACCTGAAAAAAGCACTGCAGTACACCCAGTTGATCTGATAACCAAGACAACTAAGTTAGTAGGTAGCATATATAGTGCAGATACATTGGACAAAAGGAAGATTGTAATCCTGGGTGGAAGAGTGCAAGACTTCATCACAATACTAAGAATGTTGCATGATTTAAAATTTATGAATTATTTTTTTCTGAAATTTCCATTTAATATTTTTGTACCATGGTGGACCTCCGGTAACTGAAACCACAGGAGGCAAAACTATAGATAAGGGGAGGGTTGCTATATACCAAAACTATTACTTTTCCTAATAATAGACAAACATGTAAATTGCTGCACCTCCGCTACACCCACAGCCAATCAGAGTGAGTATGCAAATTAACCCAACAAAGTTGGCAGTTAATTTGCATAGGTAGGTGCCCAGAGGCCTCCATCCAGGAACATCCTGAGCACCCAGGTCACTCCAAGATAGGCTTGGGCCATGAGCAGCCTGGGAAGGACCTGAGCCAGGAGGTTCCTGGGCTAGGGCAGAGCCGGCCACCAGAGGGAGCTGGGGAGCTCCTGTCCAGGTCTAAAGCTTCAACCAGGCCCCAGTCCCCGAGGCCCACGACAGAAGGGAGAGGGAGGCAGCAATTGAAGGAGAGGGAGCCAGTGATCCCAGCAAGAGGGAGCCAGCCATTGGAGTGAGAGAGAGACAGTGATTAGAGGGAGCTGGGGGGGCCCCATAGGCTTTAGGTCTGGGCAGAGGCAGAGCTGGCGATTGGTGTGAATTGAGTTTCTAACCCACTTGATCTATGTACCTTTTCTGACTGCTCATTGGCTAAGCTCCCTATATGCCACTGGTAATATTCTTAGTAACTTCGGTATAAGAATCCAAAAAGGTGATCTAGGGATTTTCCATCACACTCCTAGAGCAAAAATCGAAGGTCCGCTGCTGGAATGTCATATCCTGCCCTAGCCAGATTGCCTCAGTGAATAATGCCTTGGCCTGTCCACTGTAGGGTCTGGGTTCGATTCTAATCAAGGGCAAGTACCTAGATTGCAGGCTCCTCCCTGCAGAAGGCAATCAATCAAAGTGTTCCTCTCACTTTGATGTTTCTGTCTCTCCCTTTCTCTTCCACATTCTCTAAAAATCAATGGAAACATATCCTCAGGTGAGGATTAAAAAGAAAGAAAGAAATGTCATATCCTATGAAAGACACATATTGAAAATGCCTAAAGTTGTCATTTTTTCATGGTGAAAGGATCGGAGTCCGTGTTGATGAAAACACCTTGGTGGCTGCAGTGACTGGCAGTGGCTGCAGCAATGGGGTGATAGGGCTGTTGCCTTCTCCTGATCAGCCCAGTTGCCTCCCACAAAGGGAGGCCGAGGGAGTGGGTCTAAGCCATCAGTAGGACATCCCCTAAGGGCTCCCAGCATGTGAGAGGGGGCAGGCTGGGCTGGGGGACTCCACCCAGTTCACGAATTTTGTGCACCTGGCCCCTAGTCCTATATAATAGAGGTAATATGCAAATTGACCATCACTCCAACACACAAGATGGTGACCCCCATGTGGTCAAAGATAGCCGACCCCATGTGGACACAAAATGGCCACCATAAGAAGGCAGGGCAGTTGGGGGCAAACAGACCTACAGGGAAGGGTAGTTAGGGGTAACCAGACTGGCATGGGAGGAAGTTGGTGGCGACCAGGCCTGCAGGGGAAGACAGTTGGGAGGGACCAAGCTGGGAGGGAATGGCAGTTAGGGGCGACTAGGCTGGCAAGGGAGGACATTTAGGGATGACCAGGCAGGCAGGGGAGGGCAGTTAGGGGTGACCAGGCTATCAGGGGAGGGAGGTTGGGGGCAATCAGACCTGCAGGAGAGGACAGTTAGGGGCAACCAGGCCAGCAGGGGAGGGCAGTTAGGGGTGCCCAGACCAACAGGTGAGGGCAGTTGGGGGTGACCAGGCATGCAGAAGAGGACAGTTAGGGGGTACCAAGTTGGCAAAGGAGGGCAGTTAGAGGTAATCGAGCCTGCAGGGGAGCAATTTGGTGTTAATCAGGTTGGCAGGGGAGTGGTTAGGGGGTGATCAGGCTGGCAGGCAGAACCAGTTAAAAGCAATCAGGCAGACAGGCAGATGAGCAAATGGGAGCCAACAATACTGGATTGTGAGAGTGATGTCCCAGATTAGAGAGGGGGCAGGCTGGGCTGAGGGACACTCCCTCCCCGCCGCCCCGGTGCACAAATTTCATGCACTGGGCCTCTAGTCTATATATATAAAAAGCCAATGACTGAAATGCCATAATGACTGAAACAACCCATCACTGTGACACCCACTGTGGCCCCTCCATCCAGCCAACCCCACCTCTGATGGGTCCCCCACCCCAATAGGAGGCAGGGCCAGCCTGCCAACCTCTTGCAGCCTCTCCCCTGCCTGGCCCGACCCCAGATCTGCTCCCCCCTCCCATACAAATCAGGGGTAGTGCCGGCAGCCAACTTCCTGCATCCCCTCCACCCGGCCAGCCCCACCGCTGATGGGCCCCCACCACCCCGATCGGCCACAGGCTCTGCCCCCAGCCAGCTCTGCCCCCAATCACCCACACACACACACCAATCGAGGGTGGGGCTGCCCAGCCAACCTCCCACAGCCTGTACCCCAGCCACTGACCCCTGATCAGCCCCCCACATTATTTGAGGCAAGGCCAGCCAGCTCACCACCACAGCCCCTCCCCATGGCTGGCCTTGCCCCCAATCCTCCCTCAACCCAAATGGGGCAGGACCCTCTGGCCAATAGCCTGTGGCCCGTCTTCCCAGCCAGCCCAACTCTGATCAGACCCTGATCAGGGTGGGCTGGCAGGCCAACCTCCCGCCATCTCCTCCTCCCGACAGGCCTGGCCCTGATTTGCCCTAATTGGGGCCGGGCTGGCTGGACCCCACCCAAACACGAATTCATGCACTGGGCCTCTAGTATTATTATAGTTAAATAACCCCTCATATTAAAATTTGAAATAATTGCTCAATTTCTGGAAAAGGTATTAAAAAGTGAAAAACACAAAAATAGAAAAACTAATGCTCATTGTTGATGGGGATGTATGGAAATGAGCATTCCAATACATGGTTAATGGGAGACTATACTGAAACAATCTTTCTGGAAAGCAACTCATTATCTACCATAAGATTTTTAAAATAATTATTTGTCAAGAATTCCATTTCTGAGAACTTATGCTTTAAAAAATACTTCAGAATGTTCCAATTTTAAATAATTTTATTTCCTAAAAATTTCTTGAATTTGTCTACGTCTTTCTATTTCTTCCACCAACCTAATCCAAGCAATCATTTCCAATCTAAACCATTGTATCAACCTCCTCTCTGATCTTCCTGCATCCACTCTGTTCCCTGTACAGTTAGTACACAGTACAATCAGAAATTACTCCCAACTTAAAACCCTTTGAAGGCATCCTTTCACTCTTAGAATGAAGTACATTTGATAATTTATGAAGCTCTACTTGATCAGGCCCCTGACTCCATCTCTAGCCTTATCTCATACCACTATTTTTAGTGCCCATACCACACTGACTTTAAGTTTCTTAGATATGCTATAATTCCTCTGCAACAACGCCTTTGTACAATACCATTCACTCTTTTTGGAATAATCTTTCTCTCTACAATACCAATCTACACCACCCAAAACCTCTTACAACTAGTTAATTGCCAGATCAAGCAGCACTTTCTCAATGAGGACTTCCCTAACTCCAGTCAGGAACCTTGGCTGTATTTTTTTTTTTTTTTTTACAGAACAGTATTCCTTTCTTTCAGAGTATTCAATTCAGTTATAAACTACATATAAAGCAATGTGGTTATATTTGATTAATATCTGCT